AAAAAAAACATCAATCAATTTCGACATGAATTTTTCACATTCTTAAAACGAACATCGGGTCGAAAAACAAAAATAAGCGAGAAACACGCACCTCAGTCATTCTCATTATCGGTAGAACTTATTAATTCACTCAAACTACCATTGCCAAGATACTGTCTGTCTATGCTACCCTCCGGAGCCAATTCCCTGAACTTCTCAAAATTCACCTTAGCTTCGTCTTTCCTCTTCAGCAAAAAGTACAGAAAACCTCGAGCCAAATATATCCGAAAATCACCAGGCTCCTCCTTCTCTAGCTCATGATATAACTCCAATGCCTCATCGTATTTTCCCTCAAGCTCTCGAATATGGGCAAGCAGAAACTTGAAATCCCTCAAAGGAAGGTTTCCGTTGCTCTCCGCCGATAATCTGATTGCTTCCAAGACCCTTTCCTCTGTTTTCTTCAACTCCACCTCAGATTCTTCGTGCAAATCAACATTCCACAGGCCTTGGCAGGCGTCTAAGCAACTAGGGTTCTTGTTGAGCAAGTCATGATAAATTTCACGAGCTAATTGGAATTCCCCAGTGTTTGTGTACAGATCGGCCCTCAGCATTCGCCAACCGATCTCGTCCGGCTCGAGCTCCGTAAGCTTCTCGAGAATCAGAGCAGCTTCTGGTAAGTCTCTGGTTTCGAGTTTGAACTCAAACGAACGCTTGAGCTCGTCAACGTAGTTGGAATCGTTTTCCTCGTTTGAATCGGAGTCTTTGGCGGTGGTTTCAACTGTGGCGGAGGGTGGCTGTTCTCCGGCAGGTTTTTCGTTTTCCTCGTTCGAATCGGAGTCTTTGGCGGTGGTTTCAACTGTGGCGGAGGGTGGCTGTTCTCCAGCAGGTTTTTCGTTTTCCTCGTTCGAATCGAAGTCTTTGGCGGTGGTTTCGACTGAGGCGGCGGACGGCTGATCTGTGGCTGGTTTCTTGTTTTCCTCGTTCAAGACGGAGTCTTTGACGGTGGTTTCGATTGCGGCCGGCGGCGGAGAAATTGGAGTGGCGACGGCGGGTCTGGGTGGGAAATGAAAGCCGGAGAGGAAAATCGTGGCGGCGGCGATGAGCGTGTGCTTTATGGGAAACGAATTCGGGATCGCGGGAATTGTAGCTAGGTTTTGGGGATTTTTGGGGCGGCTAGGGTTTGGGTTGTGAGCAGAGGCTCTCACGGCGGAGCGAGGGAAATGTGAGGGCGGAGGCGGAGCTGGTGGTCGGGAATATAGAGGATATATGCGTCTGGAGAGAGATTGACGGTGGCGGCTGAGCTGCGGGCGACTGCCGGCAGGCTTGGCGGCGAGTGGGTTCAGAGTATTCATGGCGTGGGTTTTGAGGCGAAAATTGAAGAAGATAGATGAAGCGCGAACATTCACGACTTATTTTAAGCAGCTGTTTTTTGGGCTTGGGTCGTTGTGCGAGTTTAATTGTGGTCATGAATGTTGTGGCCCAATGTTTAAGATGGGCCTAGAGGAAGTTTGAAAAGGAAAATTTTATCTTTACTTAACTGATTGGAAATAATTGTAAGTATCGTGGACAAATATTTTATTACATTTGTACCAACTACATGACAATTAATTAAAAAAATACCATGATTTACCAAACTGAAATGCAACGCCTCCTTGATTTGTGTAGGTGATATCCAATCTCTCTCTCTCTCTCTCTCTCTCTCTCTCTCTCTCTCTCTCTCTCTCTCTCTCTCTCTCTGATGTGGGATACTGTATACTGGACCGGTTCGCCGAGTCAACCAGATGAAAATGTGTCAATAGGCTAAGTTCGACCAGGCGGTAGCTGAGCGACAAGGACAAGGAGCCAAGGAGATACAGGTTCAATGGCCTGGGAGGATTACGCGCTGCATCGGGTACTGGTCGAAGAGTTTGAGGCTCGAGCAGCTGTGATGGGGAGTCGACCACTCCCTATTGTATGTACAGTTCAGCAATGGCGCCAGATCTGGTCGAGACACTGAAGCTCCGAGAGAATCTTCAGCACGTGAAAAGGGGACACGCGGCACACCATGAGTGGTCCAGGGCGCTAACGTTTTCTGACATTCCCTGACATACTATGACACGTTTTCCGACACCTAGATAGTGGAGGCGCGCGATCGTACGGACGAGCAGAAAGACTATCAGCATTGACTCGCCCAAGCCGCGCGTGGAGAACAGGTAACTCGTCCCTATAAATAGGGACGAGAACTCTCATTTTATGGACAATCTCTAATACTTTGGCATACTTATACATATATTCTTAATCTTCTCAAGATCTGACTTGAGCGTTGGAGGCTCTTCACCGGAACCCCTCCGGTGTGAGAGTTACGTGCAGGTTCAGCTTTCTACCGGCGAGGAAGGCGTGCTCGAGACGGTTTCCAGCCGGTCGGGGAGCTAGACTTGTATTACTCTCTCTCTCTCTGTATATATACACATGGTAACTCAATATATCTTAGGAGTTTGTTCAATACAAACAGGAAAGATTATGAATTTGAATTACAAACAACATTTTCTTCTTCATATACACAAATCCCACAATTCTGAAAAATATTTTTGCAAACACACGTATTTTTCACTGTCGAACTGTTTTTTGTTCATTTTTAACATTGCCTTACGTTAACAGTGTATATTAAATGTTATATTCAATATATGTATACCTTCAAGTGTAATGCGTTTATAGTTAGTATATATTTATTATATGTTGCAATATCTTCTATTATACCAAAACAAAAAAACAACAAATTGATGACGTCAATCAAATAAAATCATGTACATTAACAGTATACATAACAAGTTGAAATCGTACCCATGTACATATACTAAGAATATATTGTCGACCTTAACATATACTAAAAAACAGTATATTCGTCTGGAACATATACAGAAGATATATGCATTGTATACAGTCGACATAAAAAAAAAAAAAAAAAAAACAAATACACAGAAGATAAATCAATGTTGTCATTATATACATAATATATACAAAAAAACACATTCGGCCACGTTCGGCCAATCCAACACCGTCATAGCCACCACTACACGACCCTCGCGCCCTCCGGCTGTCAGCCACAATGACTTGCCCACCACCACAGACCACCACGTTCTCTTCTCTCCAATTCTTTTTCTTTTTTTTTTTTTTGGTTGTTTTGGTCGCCGGCCCTCTCTGAGCCCGCCTTCAGTAGAGCCAGCATGCGTCCATCTCAGCCACCATGGACTCATCCGCATGCCGACGACTCGAAAGCTCCACCACCAACAGCGGTCGACTTTTGCAGAGGGGAGCTCCTTTCATTGGCCCTGCTCCCGTCATCCACCCGAACTACTGTTGGTCGACAAGTAAAGCCGCTCGATATGTTTTTGCCTACTATGGGAGGGATTTTGTTTTTGCCATAGATTTTTCTTTCTTTTGGTTTTCTAAAAAAAATATTCCTAACGTTAATATATTGTTACAAATCACGTTACGATGAGAAAGCTAACAAAATGAATTATGATACCCGTTCTTACAGTGTAAATTACAAATATTTATTTACTAATTTACTATATATAAATCCCATTCATCATTATCTATAAAACCCAATTGCAAAAATAAAATAAAATTGATGTCTAAATTCCTTTATAAATATATTTTTTTATTGTTCTCTCAACACAGATGACACCGCCAATCAGGCAACGCCACGTGCATGTCTCATGTCAAGACCCAACCATCACGTGTCATCCATACACACAGCACTGATCACACATTTCAACACGATAACACCATTTTTTATTTTTTATTTTTTCTAGTGTTTATTATTTCCGTATATATAATAAAGTTTAAGCCAACGTATAAAGAGATGGTACGACATCCCACGCATGTGGGCCGACAACGCGAGGTCCAAATGCTGAAAGCCCACTCCTTGGGTCGCTGTCTGGGCCCAACAGATTGAAATCATCAGATGTCTGTATCTTTCCTAGGCTGCCCCGATAGCGATTCTGGGCTTATTGGGCTTTGACTGGACCCAGTCTCGGATTTGGATCTTGTCTTTAGCGTTTTCCCGTAGGCCTCGAAAAATTGCTTGTTCTCTTTCTCTAGTTCCTTCCAAACTATATATATTACATCAATCAATTAATAAATATATCTATACAATTAATAAATATATATACATATAAATAAATTGATTTGATAGACAAAAAAATTAATTAATACATTTTTTTTATGGCACGTAATTTTAATACAAATTATTGTATGAGAATGTCGCAATTTTATTTTTAATAAAATTGTATACTTTCAAAAATATTTTAACTTGTAACACACAAGAGAATAGCACATATAACGGAAGAGAAACGTGCGTCCATGTGATTTGCATGGACCGCTTAAAATTTCATTGTATTTTTTTTTTTTAAAAAAAATATCACTCAAAATTTGATAATTCAATAGTTGAATAATAAAATATTGTTGAACTGAAAATACATCAAATTATTGAAGATTGAATTTTATGCATGTAAAATTGCAAAATATGTTTAGTAACTCGGGATATATATTGAAATTCTGTCTAGAAACTTTGGCAATTGCTAGAAAATGCTCACCAACTAGTAAAACCACAAATGTTTTTCCTAATATATCATCAATTTTGTATTTAAATTAATGTGGTGTATTCTGATTTTTTATACACCATAAAAAGATCATGAAGATATATAGTATTTGGAAATGCTACGGTCCCGTTACAGAACCATTGTGTTGGATTGTAACCGTTGGATTATCATGAAACCGTCCGGATAGTTGATCTAACGACTATAAATCCCGACAGAATGTTTCCGTAACGGAACCGTAGCACTTCCTATCGTATTACCTGTGGAGGTAATTATTGGTTGGATATTTGCATGCTTGGAGAGAGTTTCCATGCATTCCTCCTTGCTCATGTTGAATACTATACACTCTTCTATTAAGCGGTGTACCTATACATACATAAATATATGCATTTCATTAAAAATAGTATTATTCTACACATATGTCATAAAAATATGTCTTTAAAATAAAATAATAACAATACATATGTAAAAAATTAGCCTACTAAAATATCATATTTCACTTTGATGTTTCAATTTAAGATACAACATATAAGTATTTCAAAAGAAAAAAAAAAAAAAACTAGAAATTGATTCAGTAGATCTATGTAAATTGAAAAAATAATGCAATAAAATCACCATGTGGATATAATGAGCTGGTGAATCTGATGATGATCCCATCGATAAACTCTTTTTTATCTGCATAAATTTGATAAAATAAAAAATAATAAAAAAATAAAAAACACTGAGATTAAAAGAGAATAATTAATTAATACAATAATGATAATAATAATAATAATAATAATAATAATAATAATAATTATTATTATTATTATTATTTAAAAAAGGGACATGAATTGTGAATAATAATTATGAAATTATATTCTTACCCGGACGCCTATTTATTCACTCTTTGTCACAATTCTTGAATATAATTTTATACGAGAGAAAAAATAAAAATGAAAAATAAAAATAAATGAGCTAATTGCAGAAGGGCTGTTTGTTTGATCCTTTCTATAAAGTGATCATGAAGGTGAAAATGAGAGATTTTTAATTTTATAATAAGAGGGTGGGGTGGGGTGGGGTGGGGTGGGGTGGGGGCGTGATCAGGTGCGTGTCACGTATGGCGGGGTCAGTAGTCCCACGTGGGAAAAGCCACGCTATTGGCTGGGAGGGGATTACAGTAGATTTCGTTATGGCGGCCGCTGTTTTTTTTAATTTTTTGGTCAGTTGTGGGCCTGGGCAGGAAACTCCCTGGACTTGGACCTAATTTTCGGCCCAATTGGATTTTTTCACCTTCGTTTTTCAATTACCTAGGGTGATATCTTTTTAGAGGAAATTGCGCAGCACACGAGCCTAAGAGCTTGGTTGTTTATGGATTAATTTATTCACTTTTATTTTAATTTAAAATTTAACTCAACTTTAATTTAACTCTACTATCTTTAACATTATTTATATAATTAAATAATACAAACCAATCATTCTTACATATCACATCAACTTTAATTCACTATTCATCTACTCACATATTTTTAACTACCTATCATTTCCAATCATTTATCTCTTACTTTTACATCAAATCAATTTTAAACATTTTATTTTAAATATTATTTTAATATATTTTTAAAATTCTACTAACACCTAACTATACTATTTTTTCAAATTTAACTATGGTTAACCAAAATAACTCATTTTGAACAAATTATTTCATAAACAATCAAGCCTAAGTGATTTTTAACATAAAGATAGGATAGTTAAAAATTATTTGCAAACTATACCATAATTGAGAATCTTATTTGTGTTTCAACAAGGTCGACTAATTATGTTTTCTTTTTTTTTCAATTTTTAATTTTGGTTGGTTGTTTCTTTATAGTAAGTGTCGTGTTTAAAGAAATTATATGGGGAGTCAATAACTAATTAACAGTCAAATGCATCTTCTTTCTCTTTCCTCTCACTTTCATTTTTTTTTTCTTCCTCGACTTCTTCCATATTTATTTTTCTTCAGATCTCTTCGTCATCCCAATTTATAGAGCTCCATGAAAAGGTGTGGAGTCCAACTACTTCAGTTGAGGGAGACCTTGCAACCGGCGACGGGATCTGGGAGCGGCGCGGTCTGCGAGCGGTACGGTTATTGGACCTTAGATGATTCAGAGGTTCGGCCGACGGCGACGACCGGCGGGTTTGGCTGCATTCCTCATCACCTCTCGATTGGAAAAACTAAGCCCTAATCCCACCAAATAACCGCAACTATAAAACTATCCCAATTTCAGCTCCTTGATTACAAGGCTTTCCATGCTCAATTTCAATCAAGCCCTCATCAATTTCTCCATGGCGATTTACTGTTGAAAAATGAGGTTTCGATGATTAATGATTGATGATGTTTCTGTTTTTTTTAGAATTTTTTTCATTTGATTTATGATGTTGTAAAATATGTTGCGTGTATATATATATATATTATTTTTTAATATTTGTTCCCGTAAGCACAATCAACAGTATATGTTTAGTATATAATATGTTTATGTTTCTGGTTTATATTTTTGATAAGTTAATATTTTTTTACTGTACATCTGTTTTTTCATGTTATGTATTGTAAGGGTTTACAATATGTATGTATATGCTTCACACTTTAGTGGATAATTAATGTTTACATCTTTAAATTTGAAATTTGATCTCAATTGATGTTTTGCTCAAACACCAACGTAAATACAAATATATACGAAATATCAACAACAAATATACTTATAAATTTCGAACATACCTTTGCAACCGAACGACAATAAACAAGATCACATATATTTTCGGTATATAAAACATAGATAAACGTGTTCTTAGTTGCACATATACATAAAAGATATCTAAAATATATACTCGAGTTTCTCGTGTTCAAGTGCGTCGTAGATCGAGACACACATATACATAACATATATTGTAGGAATATTATTTTCAGTTTATTATACAAGAATATCATACTGTATGAATAAAATTCATTTTACCTGCTAATGCGTGATCTATGAATTTTTGCATGAGCTTTGTTTATCATTATCCTCGGTTATTTGTGCATTTTACATGTTTTATATGTTGAATGCTTAACTCATAAAAACTAAATCCCTCGTTGATTTGTTTTGCGAGTTGAAGTGTTATTAGTTTTTTTTTTTTATTTATTTATTTATTTTTTTTTTGAACCGAAGTTACCTAACAAAAGGGAACTGAATCCGTTGTATTATGGAAACACATAATCTCACATTAAGACAAATAAGATACACTAATTTTGTGGTGTTACAAATATTTTATCTTTAATCGTAGGTTTGCAATCATCTGTAAATTAAAACTAAGCAGGAGGTGTGTAAATTTGCCATACTTTTAATTATTTTGATATTTAAGTTACTTTTTAAGAATATGTTTGGTATTTACTATTTACCGTGCTAGGCCAGATTAAGATTTTTTTTTTTACTAAGTGGTAAAAGATAGAAATTAAGGATTTGACGCATCGAAAAAGGAGAAAAATTTTAAATAAATTTTTATTTTGAAAAGAAAGTTCAATAAAAGATCAATACATGAGTTTTTTAGACTATAATTAGTTACTATATAGAACAATTGTGTATTTATTAAAAGAAAGTTCAATAAGAGATCATTTGTTTTTTATATATTTTTTAATAATTAAAAAATGAGAAGATGTGGATTCCGAAATTAAACAATCAGGAGATTTAATTTATTTATTTATTTTTTCTTTTTTTGCTTTTTTAATTTTAACAATTAAAGTCTAACACTTATAGATTATTGGTGAAAAAAACCACATGAGACTAAAATAGCCATAAATAGCGAGAGTTCATCAAGACACAACATTCCAAATTTGAGAAAAGCCCAGACGAATTATTCGAATTATTGTTTACACTGTTTGGTTTAATGTATATTATCTTTCACTGTTGGAGAAGAATTTCAGTGTATGGGCGTTATGGGCTTTATTAAAGCCTAGGGCCTATTGTGTATCTACCTGGGCCCCCAAGCGTTACGAGACATTTCCCAGGATAATGATCTGGCAATGGGGAAAAGTAGGGACTATGGCGCACCAATCAAATGTAAATATGAAAAATATATATATATATATATATATATATATATATATAATTAAATAGACAAAAAAAATTATACAATATATTTCATTTTATTTGTTTTTTATTTACTTCTATATATTGATTTTTTTTAAATAAATTAATCACTTCTAAAATATGAAATTTATACATATAATATAATTGTAGACAAAAATTTTAATACAACATATTTCATTTTCTCTGTGTTTTTAGATTACTTTACATATTGACTATTTTATGAACATTAATCAATTATAAAGTATAACGTTAAATTACAATCAACAATCAGTTTTCAGAGTGAATATAAAAGTTAAATGTTACATTTCATATCGATTTAACTGTAATTGTGTCATTTTGATTATTATTATATAATAATAATAATAATAATTGTATTGTTTGTGGTAAAAAGGGATATATGAGTATAAATGAGAAAATGCTCACACAATCTCCTTGCAACTAGGGATGGCAGCGGTTCGATTTCGGTTCGGATATCCGCGGTTTTTGGTTCTGCGGTTTTCGGTTTTGGTTCTCAAATTTCACCCATGGTTTTGCGGTTTCGGGTACCCGAAAGTCTTCGGTTTTGGTGCGGATCCTATATTTCGCCCGTGGTGCTCCGTTGGGTGCCCAAAATAGACGGCCCATCAAAAAGCCCACCAAAAACCCTAGCTATATAAGTGGAAATTTCCTCTCCCTCTTATCCTCTCCCCGTCTCCCGTGATGGCTTGGCTTAGCTATGTACTCTACTACCTTTATGGCTTGTACTGTACGTTGGTACTTGCTAATTTGTGACTGGTTGTCTGGTACTCTCTAAGTTATCATGTTTTATATTGTTGTCTTTGGTGTTTTATTATAATATTTTTGGTTTTTTGGGTATCCGTTTGGTTTTTGGGTATCCGCGTGTTTTGGTTTTGGTGAAGGATTTTCACCCGAAACAGTTTTGGTTTTGGTTTTGGTTTTTAAGTTTGGGTTTTGGTTTTGGGTGCCCTGAGGTTCCATCCGATCCGAACCCGAACCGCTGCCATCCTTACTTGCAACCTCGCACTCTAAAAACAAATGGGAAAAAATCTAAGTATGGAAATGTTTGGTTTTGGCACAACAGTAACACCGCGAAGGGACAGAAAACACCCTCGTTTGCATCACAACGTCGATCAAAATTGGGCCCCGAAGGAGGAAACAAAGGAAGACATAGATGATCGGGGTAAGCAAGTCGGTCAAAATAGAACCAAAGAGAAGGTTAGGCCAGTCACTCAGCCGAACTTCTCCCCAAGCCGAGGTCGTATAAAATGCACCAAAAAATGTAAGTCCCTACCTCAACTGTCCGAATCGTCCTCTGAAATAAGAATCGCTAGATTTGATCTAAAACATGGTCACTAAGACCCGCTCCCGACACCCTCTCTACTATCCCTATCTCAAACCCCATCCGACCACATGTCCTTCACTCGCAATAAATGAGAGTGAGTGACGTGCCTAGTGCTTGACAAAGCCCTCTCACCAAACCACCACTTGTCCCAAAAGCTAACATCCCCCCTCACCCAGCGCCTAGAAGATGTGCTCTTGGGCGCGCCTACCTACCCTGGTGAGCAGCCTCCACTGTCTACTATCACGAGCGGTGCCAGTCATCCTGTACATTCTGCGAAGGTATTAAGCCCAAAGCGACTTTCACTCGCGGAAGCACCACTACAACTTATAAGAGAAGGCGGTGACTAAAATCCGTTAGGCAGCAGTTCCCAAGACCACTCTCGGATCAAATATACTTGGCTCATGATTTCTATTAACATAAACTGGAATTACTTAGGCCTTCATGGAGTACAAGATAGATATAACAATAGCCCATCTGTTATTACTAGCGTGGGCCGTAGCCCAAAATACAGCCCACTCCAGTACGTTGAGTAAATGGGCTACCTAAAGAGCGGCAAGCCCTATAATAACCTCGCGGATTCGCCGCTCTTCCCAAACCCTAGCTTCAGCAGCTCAGTTCCAAGGTATTATCGTCTCTGATTTTCACATCTCTTTTTATCCGTTTGAATCTACATTTTGTGCGTCTCTGCAAATTACTGTTTGTTAGTTCGTTAAACTGCTTTTTTTTTTTTTTTTTTTTTTTTTTTTTTTTTTTTTAGGTGAGATCTCCATAAAAAGAGTAGAGGTTGTTGTTGCTCAAGGTTCGTAATGGCACCAGCTAAAGGTACCCATTTTTCACTTTGTTCTTAATTTATCGTAAATTATTTATGAATGAGTTGACATTATAAGATTTTAGGCTAAGTATCTGATGTTTCGAGCTATTGTTTCTGAATATTGATCCGTTTTCTGATTTTCGTGCAGTTCAAAGCAATTTATGTGTATTATTTTTTTTTTTTTTTTTGAATTTTTGATAGTTGCCTTAATGTGTCGAATATAATGCAAAAGCTGCTTGGAAGCTTCAAATGAAGCTATCGATATCATAATTTTTGAGTTGTGATAGTATGATGTTGTCGTGTGTGCTCGTAAAATCTATGTTGGCGTTGACGTACAATTGGTACAGATGATAAATTTTCATGCGTCGAAAGAAATTTAGTGGTTTTGTTTGTTTGTTTGTTCGTTTGTTTGTTTTTCCTCTGCAACTTTTTGTAATTCTTATTATCTACATTTTGTTCTATAGTAGATACATATCTACTCATAGTCCTGAGTAATGTCACACTTCAGTTCCTCTGATACCTATTCTTATTGTTGATTCTACTGTATCTGAATTTCCATTTTTACTGAAATTACATGTAACATAACATATCTGGACAAGTTAAGCATCATTCGAGTAAAATGCACTTATTATACTCAAGTTAATGACCGGGTTAAAGCCTTTTTTCGTGCCTAGCTGATAAATGCGCTCGAGTTCGATTCTTTCATCAATACAAACCAGTCGAACTCAGCCTTAAAGAGCTTATCTCAGTAAGAAGCTCGAACTCAGCTATCAAATGAGCTGAGTCTAGTCGAGCCCCTGAGCAAATTTATACCTCCCGCAAGTTCGTTGTTTGTTGTTTCGTAACATTCCTTGTTTGTCCTAGAATGAATGTGTTGTCAAATTGTGAATCTTATATTTGTAAATTTGCAGTTGATTCGACTAAAAAGTCAGACCCAAAGGCTCAGGCCTTGAAGACAGCCAAGGCTGTAAAATCTGGGGGAGCAGCCTTCAAGAAGAAAGCCAAGAAAATACGCACCAAGGTCACTTTCCACCGTCCGAGGACCTTGAAGAAGGAAAGAAACCCAAAGTACCCTCGTATTAGTGCACCCCCACGCCAGAAGCTCGATCAGTACCAGATTTTGAAGTACCCTCTGACCACTGAATCAGCCATGAAGAAGATTGAGGACAATAACACTCTCGTTTTTATTGTCGACATTCGTGCTGACAAGAAGAAGATCAAGGATGCTGTTAAGAAGATGTATGACATTCAGACCAAGAAGGTCAACACTCTCATCAGGTATGGAGAATATGTCCCATTATCAATTGTGGGTTGATTGGAATCGTGAAATTCTGGATTAAATGTAGTGAAGATAGGTTTTAGTCTTTACATTTTCTTGTGTTGAGGTAGTTATTTGCATGATGTTGATTACTTTGTAAAAAAATGATTAGTCGTCTAAAGCCTTCTTTAATTAGCTTTTGCTTCTATGTGACATGTGTAATAATCAGTTTACTATTCCATTCTCTATGCTGGTTGGTCAATCATGAGGCCTATTAGCATATTGTGACCATGTGAAACTCGTGCATATTATTATTATTATTTTTTTTATGTGTTCAAAGTTTTCCAAACGAATTTGTGTTCCAATACTCAAACATATCATTTAGTATGAAATTTTCCTTTTCATAGATTCATATGTTAACATTTTCATTTATGTGCAAGTGCTAAACCAATTATGAGTTTCTTTAAAGTGCATTGTAGTTATTACCCCATATTTATTGACGTGTTCACGAATATTTTTGTATTTGTCAGGCCCGATGGAACGAAGAAGGCTTATGTTAGATTGACGCCCGACTTTGATGCTTTGGATGTTGCTAACAAAATTGGGATCATCTAAAAGGGTTTATCTATCCTTCACATTTCAACCATTTCAACTTGTTTACTTGGACACACTAAGATTTTTGTACTCGTATTTGGAACCAAATTTTATTGCATTTTAGATATTTGTGTCTGGAAGTGAGCTTTTCTAGTAATGTTAAACCTCCATATTCAATTGTGTTGCAATCTGGTGTCATGTTTGATCTATGGTTTTTTTTTTTTTTTTTTTTTTTTTTTTTTTTTTTTTTTTTTTTTCATTATGTTGTCTTGGTACTGGCTTCAGTACAAAATTGTTTTTTTTCTCCTAAAGGAGAGAACCAGCAGAAAATTCTAAGTTTTAATATGAATATGTTAAATAAATTATTTATATGAAATTTAATTTGTTAAACTATATGTTATGAATATTATGGTTTTATATTATGAATACTATAATTTTTTTTAATAATTGAGATTGACAAATTGATTTGATATGTAATTTGCTTGTAATAAAGTCACAAAATTGGTAATTAAGAAATAGTAGTTTACATTCACTTTGTATTTTTAACATAAATTTTCAGGATAATTTTGTTAATTTATGGTGTCGCATTTGTTTATCTTAAAAGAAATCTATTTAGTGTATATATATACTTAATAGTTTAATTATATATTTTAATATTTATTCATTTTGTAATGTATAATACGCATGTTATGAGACAGGGCTATGCAAGTAAGTTATAATATTTTTTAAAAAAAATATTTAGTTATTGTATGTGGATGGGTTGCTTACTTGCTTTAGTTGGATCCAAATCAATAATAAAATTTATTTTTTAAAAATATTTGTAATTGAATGATGTTGGAAAATGAAAAATATAAACCTAATAAACGCTGATTGACAGGCTTAAAAATAGAAAATGAACCATGTGAACCAAAGAATACAAAAACAAATATATTTCAATAAAATTTCATACTAAAAAAAATTTCGGCAAAAGTTGATTATCCCAATAAATTTACTTACAAAAAACATTCACCCACTTTATATAGCATAAATAAGCAAACTTTTTTTTTTTTTTTTTATATATATATACAGATGACAATTGTACAAAATTATAGCACTTTTCATTAATTATTTAATCCCATTTGTAATTCAATCCAAAAGTATATCTTTCCTGAATTAATAATATCATATTATAAGATTGGACAAAGAAAATGATAATTAATACATTCCAAAAATAATAATAATAATAATAATAATAATAATAATAATAATAATAATAATAATAATAATAAAAGAAAATAAACCACCATTTGGGAACCAAAACCATCTTAACATTATGAAACACGATGATCATTTAACCATTTTTTCAAGTAAATAAAAAAGTAATATTTTTATTTAGCTGGGTTGCTTCGTTTACGATTACGTCGGGGCTGCACCACGGGAGCCTCTTCTTCGGGTTGAAGACGAACTCTGTCGACGTAGATATCTTCTCCTTCGAGACGGAGTTGGTAACGGCCGTCTATAATCATTAAGGCTTCATTCGCAAATTGTAGGCATTTTTCTTTTGCTGCCGTCGTTAATTTTGTGGAAAGCTTCGGTGTTTTCTGCAGAAAATCCTGTAAATGGAGCCATTTTCCTTAAAAAAAAAAAAAGAAAAAAAAAAGAAAATTAATTAACAGCGATATAAGAGAAACAAATTTTTTTTAGAAAATAGGGAAAGGAAGAAGAAAGAAGAGAGTCATACCTCTTTGCCGTGGCTTTGTGTCTTGAAATTGAATCTAAGAGGAGTTCATTTTATAGGTGAAGGTATGAGATAAGAGTAGGAAATTTTCTTTTCTTCCTCATGTTGGAAATAAAATATCTTTATATAAGATAGTTTTGATTTGAATCGGATTTTTTGATTTGGTATGGTTAATTTTGAAAGAGTGGTATAGTTAGTTGTTAGGAAGATTCTGAAATACTAGTGCATATCCCGGACAATGCACGGGTAAACAATATGACTTTCATAGCATGTAAAATTGCATTATCACACGTGCATGATAAATCTACATCTTAAGTTCATACTTTGTGTTTTCTAATGGAATAACATCTTTCATTTTAGGGATCATATGTATTTAATATGTCCATATCTATACATCGGCAATTTAAAATTTGAGTTTGAAGATAACCCGAATCTAGTTGCAAAATATCGTTTAATAATTTAATCAACCGCAACTTCAGGATTTGATATTTTGAAATTTAGAAAAAAATAAAATCATTAATTTATGGGAGATATGTGATAAATCTATCTAACTCTTGTATACATCACGTCTTACAATTAATGCAATGTAAACATGGAGATTAAGATATTTTGAATCTCTAATTTAAACAAAGACCGTAAAAATTTGATTTGGTATTTTGATATAAAAAAAATATTAATGTAGGGGATGATAGGTGATAAATCTATCTAAATATTGGATACATCACGTTTTACAATTAAAGCTATTTAAATATGGAGATTATTTTTATTTTGAATCTCTGATTTACCATAATTTTTTTATTGTTTCAAAATTAGAGTCGTGTATTATTTTCATTATAAATAATTGTCAAGCAAAATAATTGAATCAGCCGCAACTTTTTTTTAATTGAAACTGCTCATTTTGATTGTTAGAAAAAATGTTTTCAAAAGAAATAAACAAATATTTTTTTTAAAAAAAATATTTTTATCCTTAAATCAGCCGTAATTTATTTTGTTAAATAAAACCTGCTAATCAAAACATATGTATTAGGTTATTAGCCGATTATATAGAAAAAAAAAAGTTTATGATATTTTTAAAATACAAAATTATATTATGGTTAGAAAAATTAGCATGTAACTTTGTTTATTATTAAATCAGTTGTAACTTTTTTATTATAAAATAAATGCCAAACAAAACAATGGTATTAGGCGAATATCTGGTTTTAAATTTGGAGAATATAATTGTCCGGTGTTTAATTGAATTAGCAGTCATGACGTACATTTATATTCATGTTTAAAAATAGCTTTTTGTAACCAGTAACCAACTTTAATTGATGCAATCCGTGCATTATCAGCTTTTGATATGTACATCGTGTCAAACCATCACAAATATTCAATATACTAAATGTAAATAGCAACCCAACTTTTTTGAAAATAAAAAGTAACAAACTCCTCATTTTAAAGACAACATTTAAAAAAATATTAAAAAAATACTATAAATGACATGTAATTAATGTTGTCCAATTTTGACCAAGGATTGACTTACTATTCTTGATAAATGGTAATTCTTTTTATATATATATAGATATATTAAAATAATATTTAAAATAAAATAATTAAAGTTGATTTGACGTAAAAGTATAGGAGAAATATAGAGTGACAATTAGTTAAACTTATATGAGTGGATGAATAGTGAAATAAAGTTGATGTAATGTGTAAGAATAATTGAGTTGTATTATTTTATTACATTGATAATACTGAGTATAGTAAAGTTGAGTTAGCACTTGAGTTAAAAAATAATTTGTTAAAAATAATTGGATTTTTTTAAAAATATTTGTATCCAATAGTAAAGTTGAGTTGGTTAAAAATAATTGAATTTTTTTTAAAAATATTTGTATCCAATAGTAAAGTTGAGTTAGATTTGAGTTAAGAAAATAATTGGTTAAAAATAATTAATATTTTTTTTTAAATATTTGTATCCAATAGTAAAGTAGAGTTAGATTTGAGTTAAAAAATAACTGATTAAAAATAATTATTTTTTTTTTTAAAAAATATTTGTATCCAAGCATTGTCAAACATGATTTCCTAACCAAACGATTCTTATAAAGATAGGAAAATTACATTTTAGCAGAACCAACACTTTTTACGTCACTTTAGTTTGGTAGGCCTTTACCACTAGACATGGCTAAAAACCGAGCAGGGTCATGACCCGGCCCGGCCCGCCAGGCCGAAGGATTGGGTTTGGTGGACCCTGAACCAACACGATTTAGGTCCGTGTCGGGTCTATGACCCGGCGGCCCGTCCCGGCCCGGATCTGGGCCCGCCCTAATAAAAAAAAGAAAAAGAGAGATATTCAAAAACCATACATTTTTCCGTGTCGGCACTGACCCGGCTCGGACTCGGCCCAGCCCTCTGGGTCAGGGTCGAAAAAATCCTAACCCGATATTGGCCCAGATGAAATCCTAGTCGAGCCCGGACCCGTGGTCCACGGGTTTGACCGGGCCGAGTTCGGGCCGGGTCTGCAAGCCAGTTGACCCGTGGCTATGTCTATTTATCATATTTAAAGGTCCCTACTAATTTTACAAGATCTAATGACTGAGTTTAAATTAATAGAATGATGCACGACACCGTGGCCAGCACCAGAAGGCAAAAAGATATATCTAGTGTGATCTTTGAAAACCGTGTGAAAGGAAATAATGTTTGAAAATAAGTTTTATATCCCTCAATCATGAATCTCTATTTAGAATTTTAGATAACTGATCATTGCATCATTCATGGAAGTTAACAGAAAATGGGCTCAAAGTTTTGATATGGGCAGCCTTATTAATGTCTTGATTGGACAATCTTTTGAATTGATTAAGATTTAGGCCGTGATTTGTTCTCAAAGATTAGGCTTTAAATCTCTTAAAATTAAACAGAATAATATGCCGACCATATAATTAAAAGAATCGCGATCTATTTTCTTTTTCGGTACAATAAAGGGGGACCGAAGCCTAAAGATAACTAAGATAAAATACGGCGGGGATAAGCGACCCCAATAATATCATGCTCCAGCCACTTGCCAATGGACAGAGGAGGGACATCCAGGCGGTGCACCCCAAGGGGTTCAGACGCCGCTAGGGATGCCAGATGATCCGCAGCGAAGTTCGCTTCCCGAAACACATGTACCAGATCCATCGACCAGTCACGGTCCCGTAATTCACGAATTATCCAAACGAGGCTGTCATGAATCCCACTCACATCCTCAGGCCCCATAACCATATTAATCACACTATTGTTGTCTGCTTCCGCTACCACCTTCCGGATGCCCAAAGTCCATGCCAGACAGAGCCCATAAAGTAGTCCCCACAGTTCGGCTCCGGTAATGGAGCAAATACCAATATTCATCATAAAATCCTCGAGCCAGCGGCCCTGAGAATCACGAATGAGGCCGCCCGCATAACCACACCCCAGATATGATGAATATGCCCCATCCGTATTCACCTTCACCCAACCCGAAGGCGGCAACGACCAATGTATCAATCGACTTTCATATTGTCGAGCTATGGTACCAAATTTCTTCAACCTGGCGTTCGCAGTAAGACAGCCATCCACACGACTCCGAATATCCCTAATCTTAGCATCCACCCGCCATGAAATGTTAGAGAATATAGATGCATTCCGCCAGGCCCAAATCCGCCAACACGCATAAGAAAAAATCACCGGCCATTCCGAGGCCCGAAACGCCGCATCTATTCACTCCAAGACATGTCGGCCGTGAATAAATCTGGAAATTGCATTTGTAGATAAAGAAAATTTGTAGCTTATGACGCCACATAAAAATCAAGTCATATGTATTTATGTATATTTATGGGAAAATTCTATAAACTTAACTCCTAAATTAAATAATTAATTAATTAATTGATATTTTAATATATAAGTTGTTGGTCTATCAAATAATGTCAATGTCAAATTTTGTTTCTTAGTAAATAATTCACATAGTTTCTCTTGATCTCGATGTTTGAGGTACTTCTATATTCAAATTCATTCATATTTTTTTTTTTTTTAGATATAGCTAGTCTCTCTTCTTCTGAAATAAAAATGGACTTTGATTTGTAATTGTCATAATAAGCCCTGCAAAATTCATGGAGAATTATGAAAATAACACTCACTCTAAATTTCCCGAGCGGGCTGCCAACAAGAAACTGCAGAAACCGTTCGCCCCCTCCACCCGAGCAACAGCCAAAGGCCATCCTCACTGATCAAAAACTCCCTATGGTAAAATTTCCTCACCCTTTCCCTTACCATGCTCGTCAAATCACTCCCGAAAGGGACCATAACAAAACCAGCCTTCGTATGACGCACGTGCCACTGCCTATACGTCTTGGGCCTCTCAACTCTATCCGGGCCCTCGCAGGCTATCACGTTCAGCACCTCCATCCCGAGCACACTCTCAGTAAGCATTCTCTCTTTATTCTCCCTGGCGTAATCGTTTCTATCAGATCAAACAAAGCCGAGTAATGATACAGCACATCACGAAACCGAGTCAAGAAAAATGGATCACTGTAGGCCCCATTGAATACCCCATGCAAGAAGATATCCGGATTGATTCTCTTGACCAGGTCGAGGAACATACTTCTCGGGCTTTCCCCCTCAACTTCCTCAGTTGGCAAATTCTTAGACACGTGCACACATTTGACAAACACGAATTCGCCCTCCTCCATCTTGAGATCCTCAATTCTCACGGATCCCCAAGACTGTGATATCGCATTATACTCAAACGGCACACTGAACATCTCAGCATACATGGCTAGACGGCGGCCCGTCTCCCCGGCCTGCTCGCAGGGCCAAGGGCCAGAATGCGGGAAGTCAACCCCAGTAATCTTGAGCTTCGGGGGCCCTCCCTCCCGTTTGGACAAGCGCCGGATTAAAGCAGGCCACTGGAAGCCGTAAAACGTGCCGAATTCTATGATGTGGACCCTTGATGCTTTTTCAGATTTGACCACGATCAGCTTGTTCAAAACGAGATTCGGAATATTGAAGAGCGAGGAGGACACGAGGGACATGAAGAAGGCTCTCAGGTAGTCAGAAGGGTCCTTTCTTTCGTTGACGAGGGATTTGTATATTTGGCTGCCGGTCCCGTTCATACGGGCCTCCAGCCCATTGGCGAAATAGTAGGCCATCCTTTGATTACTGTCGCCATAAGGGGATGCATGCTTTCTGATGTTCCGCAGCAATTCTTTCGAGGATCGATGGTCACCCGAAGAAATGGATTGGGCGCACGTGATCAAGAGATCGGTAAATTCGATCACTTCTTCCTTTGTGTTCTGTTTCTTACGAGAGGGGCGGCCCTTGACCTCATATTTTTCCATCCTCTTACTTGCCGAGATTTTCAGGTCTGTCATGTAATCCACAAGATTTTTCTCAATGCTGCTACGCGTATAAACACATGAATAGTCAAATTCATCCGTGAGGCCGTTATTGAACTCATTGTGAACTGAGGGCAGTTTTTTAGTTGTATCTTCTTCGCAATCGGCTGCCTCAGCTTGGCGGTTATTTTACTTTCCCTTTGCTCCGGGGCTTGAATTCTTCTCTACATTATTCGCCGTCGTATTTGTAACTTTTTTAGGATTTTGACACGACGGTTCAGTAACGTCACATTGGTTGTGAGGAGCTAGGTCTTCTTGCTGCTGTGGAGAAGGTGGGTACGTTTGGCCAAGAACCTCATAAAACAATTTCATTTTCGCCTTGAAATCTGAAGACTCCTGAAGCGTATTCGTCGGTCCCTCCAAGTCATCTTCCATGAGCACCTGATCAATGTATCTCAAAATCTCGCCTGGTGAATCACAACTACGGTGATTATCACCATTCTCGTTCCGGAAAGCCTGCCCTAGCATAACATGTATGCCTCTTGCATTTTGCTCTTGAAATGGATTCTTATAGACAACTTTTCCAACTGAAGAAGTAATCTCCCAGGTCGGCTCATTACCAACTTCAAGATCAGAATACTCAACCGTGGATTGATTTTGCATTGGAAGTTCGTTTGAAGAAGTGAATGGCCCTTGAATATGTTGGTCCATTTCTGCAGCTACCTAGCAAAGATATTGTATGTATAACTTAAACTCATTAGTCGAACTAGAAAGAGGGAGAGCACATATGTACACTCGGTCGGACAAAAAACTACTCAACTACAATTAAATCACATTTCATTATGTCAATATTGCCGACCTTGTTGTCATCTTCTTTTGAAAACACGGCCACGGATTGATTTTCCAAGACAAACCCATTTGAAGAATCCAAGTGCCCTTTAGAATTTGAAGCCATGTTTCCCTCAACCTGGTCATAATAATGCACACCAACATCAATCTTCAGTTGTTCAGCTAAATCTAATGCAGCATTACATATGAACAAATGTGTGAAATTCAAAAATAAAAATAACAATCACAAAATCACTCCACAAAAGCATTTCATAGTATATAATCAACCAATAATCTACTCCGAATCATACGACACAGCGTACCTCGGAGAGCAAAAATCCTAGCTAATGGGTGCATATGACAACAAAAACCAATGAAATTCTTCGGACCATTCAAAGAGAAAATGTTGACTGCGTATGTTTCTCTTCAGGGTTCGATTGTAATCCCAAAAAAATAAAAAAAAATAAATAAAAATAAAAATCGGGAAATCAACAAAAGAAAACTCTATATTCAACAAGCGGATCGCCATTGGGATTATGGAGTTGAAAATTTGGGATATTTTATTCCGAATTATTAGGGCATTTCATTATTAGACACAAAATTCATTTTCATCCCGAAAAAAAGAAAAGAAAAGAAAAGAAAAATTGCGGTATCGACAAAAGAAAATTCCAGATTCAATAAGCGGATCGCCATTGGGATTATTGAGTTGAAAATTAAGAAAACTCTTCTTCCCGCCTAAAGTGAAATTATTATTGTTCGTTGGTAGGTTTACTTGTTGTATATAGAAGGTTGACTCCACTATGGAATCAACTGTTGGCTTCATAGCAAAACCGTCCTCCGATTTTTATATAAGGCCAACAGTTGGCTCTATAGTGGAGCCAACCTTCTATATACAGTAAGTAAACCTACCATTAACAAGTAAACCTGCCATTATATGATAGGTTTATTTGTTGTGTAAAGGATGACTCAACTATGGAGCCAACTGAGCCGCTCAATGTTGAAAAATTGATGCAAAAAGTGAGTGCATTGATTCTTGAAATACACAATATTTCATTGAGATAAGAGTGCATTAATTTTGAAAAATCAATAGTTGCATTTAATTTCCATTTGAACAAATATATCGAAATTTGTATGCAATAATATTATTTGACAAAAAAAACATATATTTTTTTTATAATTAATATAAAAATAATATATATAATTTGGCTTATCCTAACATTCGTCTGAAGACAGAATATTTTGTGAATTTAATAATATTTAAATTACTTAAACTCAACTGCTCCAACCTTACATTTAATTTAAAAATAATTCCTCCTTCAGCTCAAAATGTTTTTGAAAAGTCTTAAGCCTTACACTACAAAAAAAAAAAAAAAA